CATTGGTTAGAGAACCATTGGAAATCCAGCTGGGAGTACTGCCAGGCAGCTGTTTCATCCTAGTTTTGGACTCTTCACAGTACGCACCCACCGTGGCTCGAACCCAGGACGTTGTGGTTACAAGGCGAGCCCGTATACCATTAAGCCACTGGCCATTCCATGAATTCTAACTTCTGTGAATTCACGACATAGCACAACGGATAGCCAATGTCTTCGGCGAGTATTTGTCCTCATATCCAGGTTTCTCACTGGGCCTATTCAGGTAGGTAGTCACCTGAGGTTCTAGTGGGAATTCGTGACCAGTTGAAGAGTCCAAAACTAGGACGAAACAGTTATCCAGTATTCCCAGCTGAATTTCCAATGGTTCGCTAACCAATTTCAGATCATGATGAAATCCTGTAACCAATCAATCAAATCCCTGCAAACTGATACTTGAATATCATAAACACTTAGTTAAATAAGGTTTTTGACTTCAAAAAATAATAGAATTCGCCTTAAATCACATATAATTAAGCCATTTATTTATCTAACCAAAATATTATTATTATTTATAGTGTAAACATCACACTAATTCTATTTGTTTGAATTAGACCAAATTGTCAGCAGGTATTTGATGTGATCACCTTTTCAATTATTTATGAATAATAATCATACTTTTTTTGTATGTATATCTATTGTCGGATGACAAGGTTATTTAGCAATATTCTGGTGGCGTCATCTGATTGGTCGGCTCAAGGTCAGAATTACACAAGTTGTTTAAACTTATCAGTGAGTGAATGAGGCTAAATACGCGCGAAATTGATTTCTTGACAAATTTTGTAAGAAAAAAGAACCAGTAATTATTGTTCACAGTTTCTAAAATCTAATTACTACCCAAATTCAACATTAGAATAAAATAGAATAGAAAAAATAACCCATATTTGTTCGTTGCATGTGCTAGACGAGAAAAACACAAGAATGAGCATGAGGAAAATGAAGTCATATTTCAAATTTTAATCAAAAAACTAGTAAATTAAGTGTTTCTTGTTTTTTTATTCAGTTTCTTTTCCTAATGTCTAATGATATTGAATAGGAAATAATGCTAAATTTAAAATTCCACACAAATGCCAACACTCACATAAGACAGAGAACTTAAAGACTGTCATTAATAATAGGAAAACGAAGAGTAGTATTATCGATTATTCTCATTCTCTTGGGTTCCAAGTGGAACATAGGACTTCAACAATACATTTCTGATGTCCTCTTCATCTGGATAGCTGCTCTACGATTGCTGATAATCTCTCATCTTCTCCTTTCAACTCATACGATCTCTTCAATGTCACTCTCGCACCGACGACCCATTTGTCACTTCTCATTCGGATCAAATTCAAGAGATATTCATTCGATGGTTATCTCCATTATGTGTGACCAACCGATTTCTATTTTCTCCTACAGATTTATTGACCGATCAGCTCTCTTGGTTGGTTTGCTCGCATAGTTTCTTGTTGGTTATTCTTTCTGACCAGAGCTATTTGATCTTCAGTATGGAGCTAGCGAAGGTGGCAGCTGTTGATGTGAGTCTGTAATGGCTTATTGGAAAGACATTTCATGAAGCGCTAGCCACGTTTCTGACCCATATAGAAGATCAGACTCGCTTCATATTGGTGTGTTCAAAACCCGAATTGTGTTCTTCACTCCGACTGAGTGCAGATTTTCAAACCGATTTCAGAGTGATAAAGGTATATGTCACCTTTCCGGTTCTGGCTGGCTGGCTGGCTTTGACTTCTTCATCCTTGCTATCCGACTACATGTGGTTGAAACAATGCTGCCTTGGGGAGATAAGTGAAGTCAGGAGATGACCTCTGTCAAATCTCTCCTGTTGATTGTGGTTGGTGCTGGTTGTTGTTGTTGCTGTTGGTTGGTTGGTTGGTTATCTTCATCACCGTCTTCTCTATGTTCATCTGGAATCCTGTCTTCGCCACCTGCTTCTTCAGTCAGTTTGTTAGTGAATGGAAGAAATCGATTCTAACTGAGTAAAAGTTGCCTTTATCTGTTTGAAACCAAGTTCAGCAACATTATGCATTGAGGTAGAATAAGAGAAGATGGAAGCGTAAGAGAGGAGGTGGTAGCTAGGAAGTAGAAGCTGAGATTAAGCAACTTGACAGACGTCTGTGAATTACACATAAATAAATTAAATTTCAACAATTACAAGGTAAAACGATTGATTGTAGAAACATTTACTTTCCGATTCGATTCTCAACTATAGCTCTTTAGGCATTTTCATGTAATAGTAATTTTGCTTTACGATTTCATCGCCTACATATAGCTGAAGGTATCGGAATGCGACTGAAGAAACCAGACCCGTGTATTCAGAAGACATTCATGCAGACTGTCTCCTTACCTTGAACATCATTAAATCAATTGGTAAAGACCCGAGAATTTGCCACTCTCACTAATCCATTTACAGGTGTTATTATCGCCCTAATTATTTTATTATTCTGACTAATACCACTTCATTACGCGACCAGTTTGAGGACCCACTTACTTCTTGATTGCTCCTTTTATTTTATCTAAAAATTGTGTATTGTGTGATCGATTTGTTTAATTTTTGCAATAATTTGTACCCTTTAATTGTTGTACTAATGTTCCTGATCAATTATCACCCTCATTTGACTCGTTGATATTGAATAATTATTGTTAACGGAAACCATTAGATTACATTATGGGTAAATTTTGTTTTGATAAAGTCTCACAGTGTTATACAGTAATGTTCACTGAACACGTTTCGAGCACAATTTATTGCTCATAATCATATCAAAGTAATCACACGACTTCCTAATTTCATTTATATAGTTCCATTGTTTTTCACTTGATTTGATTGGTAGTATTATTTTCCATATTTCGGGTATGAGTGATGAATCATTTCTATTGCATGTGTTGGGTGTAGATTCGATGAACAAGGATTCAGTAATCAACCTCTCTCTCCACCTACCTAGATTACCTTTTGGAATTTTCACCCTCTCCCACCCTATTGTGTGGTGGTTGTGTGCTAATGCATGCATTGCAATTGCTGAGCTTTTTTCTAGATTACTTATCTTCTCTGGGTCAACCATTCTAACCTTAGCTAAATTCTTATGTTCTAACAATCTGACTACCCCCGACCTACTAGTCTGACCTATGTAATTGACTTCACAGTCATTGCAGGGTATTTTGTAAGTGATATTATTTTGTCTAATTGGATCACCTGGGTCCTTTAACCGACAGAGCTTGTCCCTGAGTGAGTTTGTAGGTCTAAATGCCACTCTAATTCCTGCTTTATTTAGAATCCTACGTAGGGTCTTAGATGTCCCCTCTTTATGTGGTATAACTGTAGATGACTTATATTCTCTCTTATTTATGTTATTATTAATAGTTTCACAATTATTTTTATTTTTGTTTCGGCCTTTTTCAATCTTCCTAATGAATTTTATAGGATAGATAGTTATTCAACACCAACACTTCTTCTATTTGTTTCATTTCATCGTTTAGGTCTTTTTTTGTGCTACTTAGTGCCATTGCTCGGTGTGTTAAACACTTTACTAAGCCTGCCTTAACAGTTAAAGGATGAGATGAATTAAAGTCTATATATCTATTAGAATGCGTTGGTTTTCTATAAACACTAGTGTGTAGTTTGCCTTCTTCTATTCGTTTTATTTTACAATCTAACATAGCTAATTCTCCTTGTTCTTTGTCGGCTTCGAATGTGAATTTTCTTCCCTCCACTAGTGAGTTTATGTGTGTCAAAAAAGCTAGAGATATGTTCGGTTTTTAACACTGTGAAAGTGTCATCCATATATCTTCACCATATTTTTGGAGTAGGATTAAACGTATTAGGTGCCATATTTTCCCAGCTATCTATAAATATGTCTGCTACGATAGGGGATATTGGTGATCCATCCCATTGCTACACCTTCAGTTTGTCTATAAATTTTGCCTTGGAATTTAAAGATAGTAGATGTGAGGCACAACTGAATTCCTAAAATAATTTCATCAATGGGTAGTTTCGTCCTATGAGTGAGTTCAGCATCTACAGTTAGTTCTTTTTTAACTGCTTCTAAGTCCATACTGATTGGTATGTTAATATAAAGACTGGTTATATCAAAACTAACCATTGTTTCATCATTCTCTAGTTGAATGTCATTTAGTTTATCTTTCATTCCATAATGGAATTACACTCTACCACAATGCACAAGTTTTATTCCTATATCAATGACCATTAGATTGTCAATTTCTTTTGCAAGAACAAAAGTGGTCTGTGCAGAGTAATAGAATGGTATCATCGTTGCTTATTTCGTTTACTTCTCATCAGCTGCTCGCAACCCGAAGATATTATTAAGTATATCTACAAAAAGATGGGTATACCCCCGATTTTCCGAACATGTACCAAAATGTCTGCTTCTCAAGGGAACAAATGCTTTAAACAATGCCACTGTCAGGTATCTCATTGACACCGGCCATCCAGTGGATGTCTCAAGACCGTTCAGAATTTCAAATAGGTAAGAGAGTTCACTCCTCCTCCCCAAGTCTACAGAAGCAGTTGCAATAAAACGCTTCAAGCCCAAATTATGTGTTCCAATTATCTTTCCTTGCCCTAACTGGTAAATGGAGGTTTTCATCCTCTCTTTCAGTGCATTCTGTATGATTACTATTGTTTAGGATAAAGTGATTATTATTGCCATCGTATGCATATATTGATTTTTGTGAAAAAATGAGTTGTCTGTACAAGTATGTTAGAACTATTTCTGTAGATATATATTCAACTATGTCTTTGAGTTGTAAGCAGCTAATAAGAAGCCAGTGAAATAAGTGACGATGCTACCGTTTTTATGGTGCAAAAACAGCTATTTTTCTTGCTTTATTCAAATTCATTAAGAGAGGGAATAAATGCATGAAATTTCCTTTGCACTGTATCGAAATTTGCTTGAACTATTCGAAAAGATCCATCAAATCACCTTCTTTGTTTCATTCCTTTACGTTCCCAGTGAAACATAGACTGCCTTCAAGCTACAGGTCTGAAGTTTCTGTAGCAGTGGTGATTATTTTTACAAGATGGGGTAGCTAGCCTCATGCCCAACCTTCCCTCTTTACCAGTTTTATTACTGGCTTAGCGGGGTAAAGTAGTGCGTCGTCGGCCGGGGATCGAAACCCGGACTACATGCGTGGTTAGCGAGCATTCTACCCCTATGCCACGGACGCTCATCAATTTCATCGAATTTGAAAATGCCTTCGACAGACAACGTTGACGATGAAATAATTTGAAAACTACTTCAATACTACGACGTGCAGTGCTCAAATCTTTATAATAATAATAAAAGCTTCATTCCAAACAGTATTTGTGGTACAGGTATGGAATTTTCAGCGTGCATTACAATATTACATCTAATTACCTCATAAATTTTATAAGATTTTAAAAATAAAAAGCAACAACTACAAAAGGAAAAAAAGATAAATAAAGGAAATAAAAAAGAACAGCATTACATTCACATTTTGAACAATGCATCACAGGATATGAAATATAAAATTAGTGTGTAATAGAATATGTGAGCAACAATAAAATAGTAATAAAGAAAGGAGAACAAAAGCTAATGGGAACTATTTGTTACAGTGCCCCAGTAAGTTGATCGTATCATACCTAACGGATTTCTCATCACATAACAGCTGTGTCAGATAAGGTATTGTGGAGTTTTGTACTTGGTAGTCCTGGCATATAGCCTCCTTTAGTTGCTTCTAGTTCTACCAGATGAAATGCAAGGAGAGAGCTGCGTATTGAGAGGATGTTCCGGGTCTGACAATATAGAATTAGCTAGTTTCTTACATGACATTATATGTCTATCCACAATGGTGTTAACCAGTTGGTTTAACGAAATCCCACTTGCCCTACTAACAGCTTTTAGTGCCCTACGCAGCAAAGCAAAGTCTTTCTTAAATAATCCAGGAAAGATTAATGGGGAGCAGTAAAGATGGGTGGTTAGAATACAAGAGTTGACAAACTGAGAAAGCAAAGACTGCTTTATACCAGACTGCCTTAACTTCCTAACGTAGGACGTTAAGCGAAACATCTTTCTAGTAACTAGCAAGATGTGAGAGGACCGGGAAAGATCGGAGGAAATACTCAGTCCAAGGTACTTGACATTAGATGTAGTTTCGACCTCTATGCCGTCAATGATAGTGGGACCATGTGAGCTAGCTAGTTGTTGTAGGTCACGTTTTCATCTGAAAGTGAAATTTACTACCTGACATTTAGACGGATTCAGCTTAAGACCGTTTGAAGAGGACCACTGACTGACTAATTTTCGAGAGAAACTTATTTAATTTGGAACAGTCTGACTGAGAGTTGACAGGCATAGAGACAGAGAGGTCATCAGCATACTTGACAAAAGTGGCTACATCAGAATAGGGCAAGTCATGTAAGAAGAAAGAAAACAGAAAAGGAGAAAGAACAACACCTTGAGGAACACCAGCTAAAGTAAGTGAGGTAGTGGAGGACTTTCCATTGTAGACGGTGTACTGCTTCCTATCAGAAAAATAGGAATGTAACCACTTATTTGTCCAGCTTTCAGCCTGTGTTGCAGCAAGCTTACTTAGCAAGAGAGACCTAGGAACAGAGTCAAATGCAAATGTGTAATCAAGGAAGGCACATCGAACATATTTGGCTCCTCTGTCTTAACTAGAGACTATATTATGATATAGAACAACAGCGGCATCTAAGGTACACCTACTGTGTTTATAAGAAAACTGGTTGGGGTCATTGAAAGGCTTTAAAGAGGGTTCAAGATTAAGTAAAATAAGTCTTTCCATAACTTTTATAAAAGGTGAGGTAATAGCAATCGGTCGAAACTTAACAGTAGGTCCACTTGTTGATTTAGGCACTGGAACAACCTTGATATTTTTCCATGAGTCAGGAATAATACTTTTGGATAAAGATTCATTGAAAATGTCGGTTAATGGGTAACATAAGATGTCAGCACACTTCTTAAGGATAACAGCAGGAAGTCGATCAGGACCAAGGGACTGGGTAGGTTTGAGAGATTGAAGACACTTGAGGACATCATTCGTGTTAAAACAAGAGAAGCAGTCATTATTTATACTATTAGGTTTGTGAATCATAACATCTGCAGGGATATATATGAAGGATTTATTAAGCATATCAATATCAACAGACGTATCATTCATTATTTGCTTACCACCTGTGATTTCCTTTAATAGCTTCCACATATTAGAAGCTGGCTATATGACAATGCCTGCCACATGTCAGGTGTTCCACAACAGGAAACTCACTCAGTGAGGCGTTCGAAGTAAAAACAGGAGGATCAGAAGACAAGATGGCTGCCTACCTATTATCATCCACGATGATATTCCTAACTGCGATGAACTGAGTGGATTATGTGTCAGACTGTGCGTTGGGAGTGAGAAGACAGGAATATGTTGGACTGACCGATGAGAAAACTCTGGGAGATCTGGATTTCGTGTGTTGATGATTTATGCTTTTATGTCATACAAACTGAATGTCTTGTAGGCAGGCGAAAACCAACAAACTGGCTGAAGTCGTTGGCTGACAGCGAATATAAGACTCGTCCATGTGAGGATAGAGGAGACGAGGATAGGTGATGAAGATAACTAATCAACCAACCAACAGCAACAACAACAACCTGCACTAATCAATGATAGAGATTTGAAAGAGGTCACTTCCTTCACTAATCTATTCAACATCATTTCAACTGCAGGCACGAGTCTGGATTACGATGTCAAGACTAGAATTGGAAAGCCAACATAGACCTTCATCACTCTGAAATTATTTTCAATATCTACTACATACCAGCATGGAACGCAGGATTCGGATTCTCATCACCGATCTTAAGTCCATCTTTGCATATGACTCACATACTTTATTCGCTCGACACGAAAAGCATTTACAGCAGCCTACTTTAGACTTTTATCAGCATCTCTCTTCGACGGCTCCACACAGCAAAACCAGGAGGTCTGAAAGGATAAGCAAGCGGGGAACTCTTGGGATGAACCAAACAAGAACCTATAGTTAAACAAACTTGCCGAAGAAACTGGAGATGGATTGTACATTTGCTGAAGAGAACATCGAATGACCGTTGCACACTAGTCTCTCGAGCGGAACGCCTATGGAAAACAACAAAACAAGGTTAATCAGACAGCAACTAAAGTAAGATTGAGTTAGTAAGTTAGATGACGTAGTATAATTGACTAAAATGTTCTAACTTAGGTCAGGATAGCAAGAGAGGTAATTACAGGTAGAGACTAAGTAGAAGTGGGGTAGAGAATAATGCCATTTAATTTAGAGCTGAAATTGAGCAAACAAGTTGGATGACGTGACATAAATGACTAAAAATTGAGCATTGTTCAAGTCAGTAACAGTGGTAGTGAGGTGTAGAAATTAAAGCAAGAAAGATAAAGAATGTACCAGGATAATCTGAGCTGATGTTTTAATTTTTGTTATTTCATAGATTCTTATAAAATGGTTACAATCTCTTGAACAATGCGAAAATTATAAATTAGATTTAGCATCTGAACATACTTCCCTCTTATAATGATAGTGAGTAATTGATTGGGAGCGAGAGTAACATTGGTCAGAAATAATGTAAGTTGTTGTATAATTCAGAGCGAAAAGGGTCGATTATTTATAGAAGAATTGCATAACTAAGCTTGGAAACAAATGGACAGATTTCATATTAATATATGTGTAAAACTTGGGCACTGTGGTAGTAAGTAATTCCATATTAGTTTGTTTATTAGATATATCACACAGTCTGTGAAACAGTATTATTTACTGGATGACGTTTCGAACAAATTTCATTGTTTATAATCATATCACGACATCGAAATCTGAGTTTTATAGTTTTATTTGTTCTTTCCTATTTGTCATCGTTGTAGGGGTAGTAGAATTTTCCAGATATCTTGGACATGTGCTGAATCATTCCTATTACATGTATTTGCAGTTGATTCGATAAACAAAGCCATAGCTATAGCAAGCTATAGCACTACATGCAGTTACACACAACAATACAATAGGATGGGATAGGATGACAGTTCTAAAGTCTAATGTCACAGGGTATAGGGAGAGATTGATAACAGAAGCTTTGTTTATCGAATCAACTGCAAATCCATGTAATAGGAATGATTCAACACCTGTCCCAGACATCTGGAAAATTCTACTACCCCTACAACGATGACAAATAGGAAAGAACAAATAAAACTATAAAACTCAGATTTCGATGTCGTGATATGATTATAAACAATGAAATTTGTTCGAAACGTCATCCAGTAAATAATACTGTTTCACAGACTGTGTGATATATCTAATAAACAAACTAATATGGAATTACTTACTACCACAGTGCCCAAGTCTTACACATATATTAACGATTTAGTCATTCGAGTTGGATTTTGTGAGGAGTCAACCAAAGCTTACGGGTAGCCGTGGTTACAGATGAAATAAACTACAAAAGAGGCAGAATAAAATGGAGATATACTGGAAAAGTAGCAGGTTCCACTTGAAACCCAAGGGAATGATAAACATTTTGAAGTTGAAACGAAAACCCAAGTCGCAGGAAAGTTTCAACCATCACCCCTTTTGGGATCTCTGTCAACAAAAACACACTCATAACCCCACGGAGAGGCCTTTGGTTTACATAGTGAAACTGACATATTCAAATTATATGGAGTTTTATAGATCAGGCAGTTTGTTAAAGAACCCAGAAGGTGAGTCTGAAATCGCTCAAGAACTGTAAGTGAAAGAAAAAATAACAACAACAACAAGTGAATAACACTCATTTCAGCTGATGACAAAGCTTTTGCATGTTATTGATCAGTCTTAATTCAAGCGTTCATTCGTGTTATTTCAGAGAAAACAAAACAAAACTAAAATGTTGAGGCAGTGTTCTACTTAAAAACCAGGTGACCGATGAGAAAAAATAAAAACAACTCTCCCACCTGGCCTTGAAACCATCGATCGAATTTTTGATAAAATGCATAAATAATTTGTCATTTTTTCTTTCTCTCTCAGTTTTATGACAAAAAAAACACATTCTGTATTCCATCTTTTCACTTCCCTGCTTAATGAGGTTCAACCTATATGCATACCTGATATGCTTATATTATTTTGAGTAAGAGTGAGTACTAACTACTAAGGGAATTAGTCCTATCTATGCATCGACTGAATTTAGGCCTAGAAGTTAAAAATATACCTTTTTTTAAAGGA